GTAAGAACATCCAGCCATTATATTAAGTTTTCCATGTGTATTGTTTGATTCTCAAGTAATATCCTTACAGGTGATGGTGTGAGTTATTACAGGGAGAGCTGCTTTATTTAGCATAATAACTGACCTGTACTCTGCTTATACTCTAGTTTAATATTCAAAGAAGTATTAACTTGACTGTATGCAGCTTATACAGTAGGGTCCCACTTATATAGCAAGTTAGGCTCCAGGCTACCGCCGTCAAGTGGAACACCCTTTTTTTCCATGTATAAATGCATAGAAATACTAGATAACAAGTTTACACTAACATATATTAAGTTAGCAATTGAACTAAGCATTGAAAACAATAAAAAAGTAAAATACACATATAGTACACTCATTACTTAACCTTAAAATATTTGTAGTCTTAATCTAGGGTGGGATGAGTTGTATTTATTGTAAGAAATCAAGTGTAGTATGTATGGAAGCCAGCCAGGCTACCATACCAGGCCAATCTACCCACACATAATATTCTATGACATTTAAGCATCCCAGAGGAATAAATGCATATACAGTTCACTCATTACTTTCCTTAAAATATTTTTAGTCTTAATGTAAGGTCACAGGAGTAAACAAGATAAAACAAATAAACGTGTGAGAGAGAGAGAGAATGAGTACATGAGAGAGGACACTCACGGAGTTATGTAAACAAACTAGGCAAACGCGAGTTTTGTAAACAAACCAGGCAAACACATCTGGTTTGTGTACAAGTTGTCTCTATGTTAATACGGTAGAATAAATAAAGAACAACACTCCCATTTTCATGTAACACCATTTTTAGAAGAAATGACGCTCTGAGTGAAGGCATACGAAAGGAATAATTTTCTACAGTTACGCCCAGTAACATGTTTTCTTCTATGTTGGACTAGAGAAAACATTATTCTTCCCATAACTCATACAAGTTGTCTGGCTACCACATCTCATATTTATGTTTATTTATTCTACTGTGGGGTGTATATGTTATGTATCATGTTTATTATATAATTTGTAAAATATATCATAGAGGGATTAATGAAAATGTGTATACAGTAAACTGTCATTTAGCATGAGTTTATTTGGCACGATTTGGGTATTGCACAGTTGAAGAATTGCAGCACAATTTTATGTAAGATGTCGTATAACTAATTTAACATAGCTCAGTTTGTGGGAAAGAAAAAAAATTTCTGTTTTGCTCAAGCAGCCGCCTTGTTGTGGAGAAGTAGGGGAGCCATCCCCTACCACTCCCCGACACTACCCCACCATCCAACCGTTCATAATTCATACATGTCCGGTCCAGTCTTTCTCTGCTACAAGGCAGCTGTGTTTATGAATTGTGTTATTTATTTATTTATTTATTTATTTATTTATTTATTTATGTCTTTGCAAATAGTACATTGAGATTTTGTATTTACAATAGTGGGTTGCAATGCAAAGAGAGCCTCTATTATGCCTAGGCATTATGGGCTGACTTAACATTATTGGCATACTGACTACTTAACACTAAGAATTATGTCATATTTGTACAGTAGAATATTAATTATATCATAGTTGTACAGCAGATTTTTAATTATAAGTGAATCTAATTTATTTAGACAAAAGTTATATTCATATATTCAAAAATGCTTTTTGTGAAAACAATGATTCAATTATATTCCTGTCAACAATGAATAAAAGGTTCAAAGTAATTGTTGAAATTATGATGTGGGAATACATAAGTGAGTATGTGTGTACTGAGTATTTAGCATTTAGTCTAGGATGATTAAGTGGCTTTTGAGAAGAGTCTTAAATTGATTTTCAGACCAGGTTACTTGAGTATCTTCTGGTAATGAATTCCATATTTTGGGGCCCTTTATGTGCATAGAGTTTTTACTCAGTGTGATATGGACATGAGGTACATCAAAAAGAGATCTGTGTCTTGTGTTGTGGTCATGTGTCCTGTTTAAGTTGGTGAGGAGAAGGTTGAGTGGAGGGTTTATATTTGCATGTATTGTTCTGTGTATGTAGTAGGCACATGAATAAGTATGGATGTTCTTAATGGTGAGCAGATTCAGGCTTTTGAAGATTGGTGGAGTATGCTGATATTTTAATTACTATATCTTGTATCTGCCAAACAATCATGACACCCAGTAGCCATACCAGTGTTGCTGAAAGTTGCACGAAGAGGTATGAGCACTTAAGTCTTAGAATTAACAAAGAAATAAAGATATTAGACAAGAAATAACCTGTAGCTGTAATGAAGTGTTACTTTGTACGCAGAAAAAGAGGTAAACATGACTGACTTACTGAATGACTGACTGACTGAACTGACTGACTTGACTGATTTACTAAGTGACTTGACTGATTTACTGAGTGATGACTGACTTACTGAGTGACTTGGCTGATTTACTGAGTGATGACTGACTTACTGAGTGACTTGACTGACTGAATGACTTACTGAGTGACTTGACTGACTTCCTGAATGGCTTGACTGACTTAGTAAATGATTTGACTGACTTACTGAGTGACTTTACTGATTTACTGGGTGACTTGACTGACTGAATGACTTATTGAGTGACTTGACTGACATCCTGAATGACTTGACTGACATTCTGAATGACTTGACTGTCTTACTGAGTGATTTGACTGACTTAATGAGTGACTTGACTTACTGAGTGACTTGACTTACTAAGTGACTTGACTAACTTATTGAATGACTTGACTGACTTACTAAGTGACTTGACTGACTTACTGAATGATTTGACTGACTTACTGAGTGACTTATCTGACTTACTGAAGGATTTGACTGACTTATTGAGTGACTTGACTGACTTACTGAGTGACTTGACTGACTTACTGAGTGACTTGAATGACCTACTGAATGACTTGACTGACTTATTGAGTGAGTTGACTGACTGAATGACTTAAAGTTAGACACTTCAGTACAATAATCGACTTCACTACCAGAACCTCTACCATTTACCTCAGCTCCGTAGGGCCACAGCATAACTCTCCACTCTCTTCACAATCATCCACAAACACCAGCACCTACAATTTAAGATAAAAAATACTATTATTCCTGTTACATTTGTACTCTTAAGCAGTAAAAACAACATAATGTATCAAAACAATGAGCTAAAACTTCATATTCACTTTTATTTTTGTAAGAAGTGGAGGCCTAAAAAAAAGTTGTTTGACTTTTAGGGGCTCCCAGGAACATAACCCTATTTTTCCCATAAGTTCTTCAGTTCATCTCACACGATTTTACCTAACATGCCATTTTCAGGAACGTAACTACCATGCTAAATGACAGTCTACTGTATTAACCCTTTCAGGTCCGTGCTGTTGATCTACAGGTTTACATTGAGGGTCCAAACCGTAGATCTATGCCAAAATTCTAGCGGCGTCAAATTTAGCGCATGAAGGCTGGTAGGCCTACATCAGAGAATGGGTCTGGGTGGTCAGTGTGCGCACTATAGAAAAAATCTGGACACCTGCATGGCATTGTGGGAATGCCGCCAAAGTAGCTTTGTTCATCATTCCTGGCGGCAAGGAAGCTCTCACTCCCCATTCACTCTCCTGGCGAATTCTGACTCTCCTCTTCACAACTTGCAGTTCTAAGACTGATGGAAGTGGATCTGAAGAGGAATTCTATGGTTTTGAACCATTGTACCATATGGTACAATGGTGCCATGTCATACAATGGTATCATATGGTACAATGGTAGCATATGGTACAATGTACCATATAGTGCATTGTACCATATGGTGTATTATACCATATGGTACATTGTACCTTATGGTACAGGGTACAGGGACCCTAATGGAAATAAGTCTGTCTGACTTTTTTTGGGTTATCCTAGGTTCTCCAAACATATGCTGCTATGTATGATAATCTATGTAACTTTATTTGTGTAAACCTAAATGAACATACTTACGATGCCACACGTGCTTGAGTAAGTTTATTCAAGTGTACACAAATACAGTTACATAGATTATCATACATAGCAGCATATGTATAAAATCCTAGGATAACCCAAAAAAGTCAGGATGACTTATTTCCATAGGGATCCCTGTATCTGTACTATATGGTGTCCTGTACCATATGGTGTCCTGTACCATATGGTAACCTGTACTATATGGTACTCTGCACCATATGGTACCCTGCACCATATGGTACCCTGTACCATATGGTATCCTGTACTGTATGGTACCCTATATCATATAATACAATGTACCATATGGTTCCTGTAACATATGATACCATGTACCATATGGTCAGTTAGAGATGTTGATGCCTCCAGGCACCAGCCAAGACTGAGTGAGAGGCAACGCAAGCTAGCTAATGACTCAGCAGTTTCCAAGACAAAGCGCTTTGTCATCCACCTCAAGGAACATGTCGAGTGGCTGTACATTTGTAAATATATAATAGAACATTACTAATATACAACATTTTTGCATATTATTGTTGTAAATGAAATAATGATGAAAATATTAGTGTGTTTATTGTGTTGAATACAACAGTACCATATAGTACCATATGGTACAATGTACCATATAGTACAATGATACCATAATTGTACCATTGCACCATATGGTACCATTGTATCATATGGTACCATTGTACCAAATGGTGCCATTATACCATATTCTACCATATGGTACTATTGTATCATATGGTGCCATTGTACCATATGGTACCACTGTACCATATGGTACCATTGTACCCTATGGCACCATTGTACCATATAGTACTATATAGTACCGTTGTATTCATCACAATAGCCGCACTAATATTTTGATCATTTTGTTTACAATAAACTTGTAAACAAGTTTTGTAAGCAATATAATGATAAACAAATTAGTGCAGTTATTGTATTGAATACAATGAGTGTACTCTTATACAATATACTTTATATTGGTCTCACAGACCACAAATGTTACTAGAAAAAGAAAAAAATTAGAAAGAAAAGAAAAAAGTATAAAAAAACGTAAAATAAAGAAATGCAA